AAAGTTATAGCATGAAAACTATAACAAGCACAAAATGGTTATGAGGTAGGTCCCAGGGACCGAGCCCGGGCTGAAAGAGTTAATTTTCTGCCTTTTCATGTACGCATTTAATAATGAGTTCTGCACTAATCTATGTTACTACGTATTATAAGACTCTGGTCCATTCATCTCTTCTTTCCTCTAGGTCACCTGATTCTTCTTTTTTATGTAATTTTTCAGGAATGGTCTGTTAGTTTTTTCTTTTGATCTCTTGATGCAGAACAGCATTGTTGATGAACTTCAGTCATTTTCCTGGCTATTCTCCTTTTCTTTTTCCAGGTCTCACATCTCCATATAACAATTAGGTAGCATTTCAATACTACTGCTGAAAAGGTTTTCCACATGCACCAAGCCAATGAAAGAGCTCTCACACCTGAATGTAATATTTGTGTGATGGGCTAGTCTACATTGCTAAGCAACAACAAACTTTACTCCTTCACCAATAAGAGGGCAACACAATCTTTTTGTGCAGTACTGTCCTTAAGCACTTTGTCTAAACCAAAAGCTCATAGGCAACTAGGTACATCAGACACTGGGAAGTAGGGTGGGTAGTTCTTTAGAGAGGTGACTATCTTTCAAAAATACATTTTCAGATAGGGAACTCGCCTTTCTACAAAAAAAATTAGCTAAAATACAACTCTGAAAAGATGGCAGAGTGACCATTGTGTAGATGAGCTATTTTCTGAAAATATAGAGAAAGAAAAGGAAACTCATCTCATTGAGTGTACTTCCCACTCTAGGGGGGAGACTTGTGGGAGTTGCACTTGGTGGGAGATTGATCCATCTCTAACAGTGGATACTCTTTATGGCCAACACCAATAGTTACAAAGGTGGGCAGAATGTGAAGGCTTATCCTAAGGAAGAGCAGACCATAGATATTAAGTGTGGCTAGAAAAATAAGTCAAGCTAAGCAGTATGTGAGAAATATGCAGACATATTTTACAGCCTTCAATTTTGTTTGGTGACAGAGCTATCAAATAGAAAATCAGACCCCCTCTTGCCCCACCCACCTGTTACAGCCTATCTTTCAGAATTCATTGATAATTCTCTCTTACATTTCATTATATATTACGTATAACCAATAGAAAGTCGAGGTTTTCATCTATCAAATGGCGTATTGTATAACATTATAACTATTCTATCAAATAAAGTTTCTGTACTTTTGGTGCTAAGGAAAAAAAAAAAGGAAGAAACTCAATCAAAATTGGAGATTTTATATCTCGGGTATTTCTTAATGGATTTCCTTTAAATTTGATATGTGAAGTAAGAGTCTGGTAGTGCATATCCATTTAAAATATGTGATAGTTTGGATTACCACAGTCCGAGCTACAGAAGGTAGAAAATCAATGAACTATCACTCCTGTTAATAACACACAGTGTGTCCTGCAGGTTGATTTTTGGCTGCAAGACACACTAACATGTGTCTTGATTTGGTTTATTGCAGTGAAAAATACCTTCGTCAGATTTCTTTACTTTATTTCTCTGATTTAAGATAGCATATAAATTTTAGATTGTCTTCATGATAATATGATTTGTTCATTTTCAAACTTAGTTTTTTTAGTTTTATCTGAAATTCTTTCCAATTCTTTTTGGATATCATTAATAATAGCAATTTCTCATTTTTATAAATGCTGAGATCTGGATAGTCTTTTATGCCTGGTTCAGGCTCTTCAGTGTTATGTTGTGTACACTGAAGGGATTCGAGGCTCACATCACTGTTTGTTTATCCATTGGATTACTAAACTGTCATGTGACTCATCCCCTGTGGCTTTGAAAGGTTAGGTTCATCTGTTGATGCTTATTGCTTACTTTTGGCTTTCATTGGAGGAACAGAGACTTCTTCGGGTCTCATCTTCTCAAATAACCATATCTTGATGCCCCCTGCTGACTCAGTGAAGTCACCAGCTGGAGGAGATTGTACAGGCTGGTATGTGGACAATGACTAATAGATTTATATCTCATTATGTACAAGATTTGGTGGTTGCCTCCTCAGAAGGTTTTGGGCTACTTTCTGTGGCTATTTCACATGCCCCGACTAGTTTGTAAGAGAGGTGAGTGACTTCATTTCTTTTGTGTTTATTTCCATTTGTGTTCAGAGACCCTCTCATCATTTTCATGTGGAATCTACTCTGTAGTGGGTGTTAACCTTGTCAGCTACCAGTCAACTGATATATATATATATATATATCATCCAGGACTGGGTTCTCCCTTCTCTCCCCCAGAAAACAACATACACAAAAATTAGAAACAAAACAAAATTGACGTTTATTACATTTAACCGAATAATCACCAATAGAACATTCCAGTTTTACTTTCAACTTTCAAAATTAACTAAGAAAAATGTGCAAACCAGTTTGCAGAATGCCTGTATTTTGGAATTTGTTTAAATTGTACTTGAGGAACAGTAGCATTTCATCGTTTTTGGGTAACAGCCTTGACCTTTAGGTTGTTATAATGTTGCCAATAGTGCTAAAAGCCTGTTTGCTGTCTACACTGGTCGGAGGTGCAGAGAGATAATGCCTTGCTATCCTGGCCATTGTGGGAAATTGAGCTTCTTTTGACTTCCAAAAGTGAAGCCAGTGAAAGTAAATGCAGAAACAGTAATGTTGACATGTTTTGGAATCATTATTACAATTAATACCTAGCCCCAACTTCTCAAACTCTAACCCCTATTGTTCTCAAAATTCCACCTTCCCCAGAAATCCACTTCTCAAGCCATCCCTTTTATTAACCTCTATTGTTCTCTGAATCCTCAACTTTCAGCAGGCGGTCAGTCTCTGTTGCTCGGAACATGCTTTTTTTAACTAAACCAATTATTGACTTTAACTATCAGTACCTCGTAAGTTGACACAAAGATTAGGGATTAGATGCCATTCTCAATTACCCGGAATTGG